ATACTTTTTTGAGAAGCATTTTTGAGAAAAATACACTTAGAAGCAGTTTTTTAAAGCTTGGCCAAACACTAATTGTTGTTCAGAAGTGTTTTTCAAATTAATTAGTCAAACACAAATTGCTTCTCACCAAAAGTACTTTTGAGAAAAGTATCTTTGAAAAAAAAACACTTTTCAAAAAAAGTATTTTTGCGGCCAAAAGGGCTATAAGAGTGTGTTGCATGAAATAGTCATGAACGAGTAATGAGAGGTGAGACGTATGTAAAATTCATAGAAAGAAGAGAGACTATTAAAAGCTTTAAGGTTATATAAGAGACTACGGAAAACTGTGGTTAATATTAGTAATGGCGCTAATCATGTTCTGATAATACTTGAAATGAGTTATCAAGATAAGGAAAAGAAAGAAAAGAGGACATTGTAATGGTCAGATTGGAGCTATGTTACAATTTTAGACGACTACATTTATTAGGGGATGTTTTAGATCTAAAGTTATTAATTAGCTATTCCTGTTTCTCCAATGGTAGATTGCTTTATTTGTTTTTCATTAGTTAAATTAAATTTTCTCTGTCCATCCATTTGTTGTCTATTCTGCCCCAGTAGAACCAGACACTGTGCCTATTAAGGATTTCCGTCGAGTTTTTAAACCCAGAACAATTAATTGACGATTGGATTTGAAGAAAAGACTAGGGCGGTTTTTTGAATTAAAAAACAATTTGGTGTTATTTAAAAAAAAATTAAACTGGAAACAATTAAATGCGTATGTTTTTTGGTCCTCTTCGGACAACCAAAAAATTCTTTTAAAAAACAACAAAAGTGTATTTATTATGAGAAAAGAAAAAGAAGCGCTAAAAGTAATCTTTGCCGAAACTAATTACATCCAATAGCCACGAAAGTATATAAAATTTGTATATTTTTTGTATATAATATATATTATTTATTTATTATTTTTCCAAAAAAAGGAGAAGAAGTAGAAAGCGGGTTTGGGCTAGGATTATTAAGTTGGGCTGATAAATCAATATCACGGGCTAAGTGAATGTCATGGCTAGGGTATCAGTATTCAGTAGTATAAACTATAAAGGCTTTAGTAGCTCACAATTCAATCCAATCTAATCTCCGCCTAGGGTTTTTGCTGCCGAGCCACTCCCCTCGTTCCAGTTAAGCTTTCAGCTCTTTCAACTCCACAGCCATGGCCGAACAGGTACTTCTCTCTCACAATCACTCTCTATAAAGAAGTTCGTTAGGTAATCACTATGTTACCCAGAAATCTGAGTGGTTTGCTATTTTTGTATTGTTGCAGACGGAGAAGGCGTTCTTGAAGCAGCCAGGTGTTTTTCTTAGGTGAGATTCAGTCTGATAAATCTTCGTTTTCTGTTTTATGTTCTGTTTTAGAAAACTTTAAGGCTAAGCTTTGTCTTATTTGTGTGATTATGCAGCTCGAAGAAGACAGGGAAGGGGAAGAGACCAGGGAAGGGAGGTAACCGCTACTTCAAGAGCATTGGTCTAGGGTTCAAGACTCCTCGTGAGGCTACTGAAGGTCCGTATACTTTTTATTTCGTTTAATCGCAGATCTAGTTCCTTGTAATGTGAACAAGTACAAAATTAAGTAGTTGATCTTAAAATTGCTATGCAAATTAGAGGTGTCCATTTTCGGTTATTGAATCCGTTTGGCTTTATTTTTTATTATGGAAATGCTTCTGATGCATCTTTCGTTTGCTTGTTCTTAAAATGTCCTCAGTTACTTGCAATGTAGTTGGGAATGTTGTGATCTGTATTTTCAGAAATGATATTCATTACTAATGGCTGCTCAGCTAAGGGTATAGTGCAATAGATGATGCAATGTGAGGAGGTGGAAAGATGTGTTCTGGTGAATGAGTGAAATTTAGTGCATAAGTAGGAATATTATCCTGTGTAATGAAAATTGTGAGGGACTGTATGTTAGGGTGCTTATTGCTGGTAATCGGGGAAAGTTAGTTGTGCCTTTGTATATTGTTGGCTTAATGGTTCTTCTGGCCTTGATAATCTATTTGCAAATTTATTATAAAGTAACCGGTAGGATAATATAAGCTAATGTGCTTATATCAAGAGGGGCTTGGTTCACAGTCCAAAAAAGATCTTGTATTTTACATGGTTCTCTGAGGGTGTCAGCAATGACTTTAAACCCAGCTATCCTTGTGAAAGTCGTCAATGAAAATTGCTGCTTCTGTTGCATCACTGTACATTTCTTCAATGATTATGTGGATATCTTACCTTAATATCCATTTATGTTCGTAAATTAAGGAAAAATGAAGTTATTTCTAGGTTTTTAGGCTAGTTATTTGCTTTGTTTTCTCCTACAACATCAACATATTGTGATGCTGGTCTATTACTGAGCGCTGTTACAGCTTCAGTTTGTAAATTTGCTTTTACCCAATTCTGGATCCTCCCTTTTTTACATGGAAAAGTTCTTAGGAGCTCTTATGCAGAGTATGAGAGGGATAGCTGCAATGAAAAGAATAACATCCTTCCAATTCCAATTTTTTGTTTCTGTTGGACTTGGGCAAGTTTATGATTTTATGATTGGATGAAATAGCACACTGGACAACAGCATTCTACTTTATGTACAAGACACTCCTTATTTATAATGCTCGCGTTTAGGTACTTAAGTAATTGATAATTTCAACCTTTATTGGAGCAGCAGACTTGTGATTTTATACCTGGTTATTGATTTTGCTTGACCTTCTTATTTGATCTAATTTAGTTGTTGCATATCTTGTATTTTAGGTACGTACATTGACAAGAAATGTCCATTTACTGGAAATGTTTCAATCAGAGGTCGTATCCTTGCTGGTACATGCCATAGTGCCAAGATGAACAGAACCATCATTGTTCGTCGGAACTACCTGCATTATGTCAAGAAGTACCAGAGGCAAGTCCTTGTCACTTCTAAGTTAATGGCTGCTCAACTTGTTTTATGTATTTTAATTTAACATGAAGTACTATACAGATATGAGAAGAGGCATTCAAATATCCCAGCTCACATATCACCTTGCTTCCGTGTGAAAGAGGGAGATCATGTTATCATTGGACAGTGCAGGTCAAGACATAGTTGCCTTTTCCTTTAGACATTGTACTGTTTCAACTTTTTATCTGCTATTCCTAATTATACCTTTCAACTTGATAGGCCTTTGTCCAAGACTGTGAGGTTTAATGTGTTAAAGGTGATTCCAGCTGGTTCTGCTGGTGGTGGCAAGAAAGCATTTACAGGAATGTGAGCAGGTGTTTCTTGAGTTTATTGTCGCTTCTAGAGTATGAAAGTAATTATGTTTAAGACTGAGAAGAGGAGTGACGTTAAGACTTCTCTACTAAAAGCTGTTTGCCTTTGAAGGCTTAAATTTTGTATGGATACTTGCTACTTATCATTAGTATAAGGAGTTCAGATTTCAGTTTTCTTGTTACCATTCTTATTTCCAATCAAATGTTCTTCCTGATTGCCCCACGAGAGAAATATCTATTTGTTGAGATCTTTAGGTACTACTGTTAGGAGATTATCCCCTTTTTGCGTCTCTGTGGTTGTTGCTATACTCTGGTGTGGTTATTCGTGTGAACGACTCCGTGGATTTTGTGCCATATAGTAACTTCTTGGAAAAATTGATATTGGGCCAACCAGTTGATCCAATAACTAGGCGTCTATAATCTATTCATCTGGCTTGATTTCCCACTTTTGCACATTTGACAGTTGTGACCCTTAGCAGTTGCTAGGGGTGTTGTAAGCTAGCTGGATAAACCAGACAAATCTAACGCACACTCGGATGGATATTGATTTGGTTGATTTGTACCGATTTGGTATTAAATTTAAAAGCCGGCAATGCATGCTTTGCTTGATATTGTCTCAAATTTTGAACTAAAATTAACCAAACTAGCTATGTTAACATCTTTTTGAATTTCTCTTTAAGTATTATCATGCATTTTTATAATTTCTGTTCAATGTGACTTTGGGTATAAGTTCGAAGAAATTACTATAATTTGTTTGGACCAAGGATGCTATTTGCCCCAGGCCATTGTTCAAACAAGCGAGGACTTAGATGAAATGTTGGTGAAAATGTTAATACTCTCTGGACATAAAGTGAGGAGATTAGTAGTGATTGTTTACGTTTTTTTATATGATTTGACAATATTTTTCATAATAATGAAACCAAGTCGACGAGTTTATACTCTTTCTGTTAGTAAGCATGTAAGACTTGCGCATAATTTTACCTCAACTAATCTTTTTAGTATCTATGAACTCAAATAAATTTTCTTTTCTAGTACAAGTTCTTGAACTGTGAGCTAGGGCTGTGCATGGATCGGATTGGATTTAGCTTATTTCGGATTTCGGATTCCACAAATTGCAATCCGAATCCGATTCGAATTATATCGGATTGGATCGGATTTTTAAAGTTTGAATCGGTTTGGTGATCGGATTTTCGGATCGAATTGTACGTATTATTAAGGACCTTTTCTTTTATTCTTTTTTGCATCCATATACACATTCCAGTTCTTTTATATCGGATGAGGTCAATCGAAAGCGGGAAAGGAATGTGTATAACTGTATATGGATGTTACATAATACAATAGCATTTAATCCAAACATCTTGATACAGAGGAGGAGAAATCAAACAAGGCCATGAAACAAATAGCACCCTATAAATAAATAAGTAGAACAAATACGAGGAGCATTGTTAAATTATCATATCTAGTTACTTATTCCTGGGTGTAAAAGAACAAAAATAGCAAACAAATGATTATAAATTACAGTACCTCAAGATTTTACTTTTGGCTTCGTTCCAGTTAATAAATATGTTATTAATAGTATAGTATTGTCACAAAAGCAATTTGAGAATCCAATCACTGTCAGATCATTCGGGGTGATAAAAAAATTCTCCAACAAGAAAATGAAAGAAATGGCATGTACATGACTGGATTATAAGATTAGATTAGCTTATAAAATGCAAATCCAAAGACTATAGTGAGAAAGACAAACAAAGCATGCAAATATTTGAGAAAATTCAGTTGCATGTGGTAAGCACCAGTTCATCATAGGCGTCTTTCAAAGAAATTCACAGGCGTCCATAAACAAAACACAATCTTCATTCTTCATAACAAAACAAAATTAACTAAAATCCCAAATAGATGTCTAATCACTAATGAACTGAAATCCTCAACCAGAATTCCTTAATAGATTACACAAAAGAGTTCCAAGTTCCAACTTCTATGGCCATCGCATTCCGTCCTGATTCCTGGCACGCTTTCAAGTTCTGTAACACTGCACTTGTCAAAAATGAGAGAATCAGTAAATGTGTATCATGTTAAGCTGGACAACCTATATGCAGCAACCTATATGCAGCCTATACAAGCTGTTTTCAATGTTCATCAGAACATAGCCTAATGCAGCAGCTTGACTGCTTGGTGGCAGAACAAGACAATACAATAGAGAAGGCTTAATGCAGCAGCTTGGTTCAGTTTATTAGAAGGCTTAAGCCTAATGCAACAACTTGGTTCAGTTTATTNATATATATATATATATATATATATATATATATATATATATATATATATATATATATATATTGATTTTGCAGCATATACCAATATTTCAAGCTGAGAATCTTGAGCATAACAAGACGTCATCTCAACTAGCGTTGGCCTGGGTACATCACGAAGGAAATGATGTGTGCCCCATTATAGTATAGTATATTTTTGTTTAAGAAAATCAAGAGTGAAACCCTCAATTTATTTCATCAATTTTATCCAAGAAATAAAAGAGAACAAACACTTCCTTTAAGCTCTAAGAAAGGAGGAGAAAGAGAGAGAGAGAAGGAGTGAGTCGTAGTGTCTTACCAGTGCGGTCGTTGGTCGCCGGAACACAAAGAAGAGACAGAGGAAGCGACGAGCAGGAGCAGCTTGTGGCGTGAAACAGTAGTCTCTGTCTCTCTGAGAGTCAAAGTCTGAGTCTCTGAGATATGACTGTGAGAAAAGAACGAGAATGAAATAAGTTCTAACCCTAAAAATAAAATTAGTATTTACACTTTCCCTAATAAATTCGGATTTCGGATCGGATCGGGTTCAAACAATACAAATCCAAATCCAATCCAAAAATTCAAAATTTTAATAAATCAAATCCGAATCCGATCCAAATATCCGAAATCCGAAATTGAGCAGATCAATTCGGATTTCGGATACCCGATCCAAATGCACACCCCTAAGTGTGAGCTGAACGAAACCAATTAAATAACTGCAAGACGGGATGAACTTCGAAAGCGATAACTGCGCCTTATGTAATTTATTTTGGTTAGTAAATTTAGCAAATAATGTAATTGGTTGCGCTCTCTCTCTCTCTCTTACCCCCCACAAAAAAAAGGAACAAAAGAAAAAGACTTAACTTAATTCACGTATAGAAGTACAATCGACTCATTAACATGGCGTCCGAGCCAGTTTGGGCGCACTTGGCTATTCTGTTAGTATCTACTACTTTCCATCAGCACAAAATACTGGATAATTCTGTCCATCAAAGTATAAGAAGGGGGGAAAAGCACCTAGTATTTTTTACCCCCCCCCCCCTTTGAATTTGAACATGAGACCTCGTGGTTTTACGTCAATTTCATTGGTTACGAGGCCATAACCTTTGGTACTCAATTTGTTTCAATTCTACCGATGTGACTATCGGTATGAAAAGAACTTTAATTGTACATATTGCTTTTAGGGTGTGTTTGGTATGAAGGAAGATATTTTTATATTTTTTCATGTTTGGTTGGCTTAAATGTTTTGGAAAATATTTTTTTCATCAACTCATTTTTCTTCAATTGGAGAAATATTTTCCTTATCAAAAGAAGGAAAAACATTTTCCAAAATACTTTTTCAACCTTTTCCACCATATTCCTCATCCTTACCAACCCCCACCTACCTACTCTGCACCTCACTCCACCCTAAATAAAAAAATTATTAATTGTACTTGCTTTTTTATGTCATAGATAGATTTTTTTTATCATTTCAACAAATGAGTATTTCCTTTACATGATATAAAAAGTATTTTTTTTCATTTTAACAAAAAAATAGTACTTTTTATGATATAGAAAAAGTATTTTCTTTTGTTTCAACAAAAAGAGTATTTTCTTTCACTCAACAAAATGAGTAATTTCCTTTCATGTTATAGAAAAGATACTTTCTTTTTCAGCAAAATAAGGTATTTTCTTTTTAGTTATCAAGCTCAAATTTAACTTTGTTCTTGTGTGAAAAAGTAAAGTAGCACATTAGTTCCTTTGATTTTGTGTGAATTTTAAAAAGAATAATTAAATTCTTAAAGAAAATAGAGTCT